TGCAGGGTAACTCAAAATGGGTGGAGTTGAGAAAAACCCTGAGTCCTTTGAGGAACAAAACCCAGAGCAGTGGCTGGAGGGAATTTCCCCCTCCCCTCTCCCCCAAATCACAATTCATCTCCCTATACCTTCTTCCAGCTCCACCCCCCCCCCACCCCACCCCTGCAATCACCACATTGATGTCTGTGTGTCATGAATTCTTTCTCTTTTTCCTTTTTTGCTCCATTCTTCACCCCCACCAACACCCACCACCACCACCAGAACTGTCTGCCTGGTCTCTATCAATGAGACTGTCTCTGTTTTGCTTGTTAGTTCAGTTTGTTCATTAAATTCCATATATGAGTGAAAACATATGGTACTTGTTGAAAGATGAGACAGAGGTTCGAAAACCAGAACTACAGGCTTTATTAGAGGAGAAGGACCCTGCCGGGCTGCCTCACAGGGGAGAACAGCAGCATGTGCAGGGGTGAACACGCTTTTTGAGGGGAGGAATGGGAAGGAATGGGGCTTAGGGTACTCGGCACACGCTGATTGGTGGTTTCATATAAGGCACATGATTAGGCACTTAGGTACTTAGGAATCAAAAGCTTAGGGTATTTGGCAGGTGCGGATTGGTGGTTCAATGTACAGTCCATATAAGGTGCCTGGTTAGGTGCTCAGGAATGTCCAGGCCACAGGTGCAGGTTATGTCATACTCCATCCATCAGTTGGGGGAATTTAATAGGATGCATTGTAGATGTGAGGTGGGTAATGGGTGTGAGACTAATCTGTCAATCCCCATAATAGAGATTGAGGAGTGGACAAGGGTCCCAGCGAATTCAGAGAGAGCAGAATAAGTAGCCATGGTGTCAATTTAAAAGGAGATCGGCTTACCTGCCACCACAGTTGTTACCCAAGGCTCTGTCCTGGTGATGTGAGTCTGTGGGGCCCTGTCAGGGCCTGTGCAGCTTCTTTAGTGGCCAGTCCCAGGAAGTCTGGGAGCTCCAAACTGGATCTAGAGGGCGGCCATGCTGGACTGGCTGAAGCCTGAACTGGAGGAGCCAGACTAAGTCTGATTTCCAGTGGCCTTCCCTTCCGAACCTTAGGCAGGGCCCAGGTTGGAGTCTCCGATTTGAGCAGGACTTGGCTCAATGTCCTTTCTTGCTGCATTTGAAGCATGAGCCTGGAGGAGGCTTAGCCCCTGACTTAACTGCGGTTGGAGGACCGGCACTTCCTTTGAGAGCCGGTTTGAAAGCGGTGGCTAGAAGCTGGAAGGCCTCTTACTGGGCCTCAGCCTTGGCCTGATCTTGCTTTTAATTTTGGATTTGGGTCTCCTTGTCTCTATTATTAAAGACCTTAAAGGTCAGGTTAACGAGGTCTTTTTGAGGGGTTTGTGGACCTGCATCTATTTTTTGAAATTTATGCCGTATGTTGGGGAGTAAAGATGGTCAGGTCAGTGGAAAAAGAAACCTGAAATGCCTCCTCAGGCTGTGAGGCTGGACATAGAGAATGGGACGTGGACTCAGAGTATGCCCTCAGTTCCTGCTGCCTCCCTCAGGGGTAGAATAGACACAGGAATTGAAGAAGCTGTTATGGAAGGCAGTCTTTGGGTGGCCAGAGAATGAGTGTTAGATGGGAAAGGCTCATCGTTCTCAGGATTTGAGAAGATCAGAAAGTGAGAAGGGAATGGCCAGCCACCTGTGAATTCGGTACTGGCTATCACGGGGGCAGAGATTAGGGGAGAGCACAGGGGAAGGCAGCAGTTAGAATTCTCAGAGGTAGAGCGTGGGGTGCGGATTCTGCGGCAGGGTTGTAAAGGGGCAGTGGGAGTGAGACACATGGAGAGGAATGATCTGCTGGGTGGAAAGAGCAGTCAGAAGACAGAGAAAAGGGCTGAGGACAGGTTTGAGAGGGCAAAGAGGATTTCACGAGGAGGATCTGATGGGGGGAACATGTTTTGGGCCCTCTAACTCATCTTTCACTTGTGTTTTTCTTTCACTTAGCCTAATGTTCTCCAGGCCCATCCATGTTGTCACAAAGGGTAAATTTTTCTTTCTTTTTATGCCCCAGTAATATTTCATTGGTGTAAACGTACCATAACTTTTATCTGCTCATCTGCTGATGGGCATGTGAGCTGCTTCAAATCTTGACTATTGTAAATAACGCTGCAGTGAAAATAGAGGCATATGGTTTGTTTTTGTTTTTAATTAGTGTTTCCAGTTTCTTTGAATAATATGCAATGTATTTTTTAAAAAAGAAGAGAACCTATAGGGTATAGGTTCTTTCCCCATAGGGAGAAGGAAAGCAAGGACGGGCCTCCTTGAGCTGGGGCTTGGTATTGGGATCAGAGAGAAGAAGGGAAGGCAGATTACTCAGAACTGGAGTGGAGAAATAGACTAACAAATGTTAACATTAGTACCTGAAAGGATTTGTTATAATTCTAACTTTGGCCTTCACCTTTGCCAATAGTGTTGTAATCTGCTTTTAACTATAGCTAAACAGACTGTAGCTAGGGCATTGTGGATGTTGGGCTCTTTACCTGCCTACCGGTGCATATTTGGAAATATTTTCACTGGATAGTTAAATATAATTGTGCTGTAATAGGCAGGGTAAGGGAAAGAAGGGTCATTACTAGCCAAGACAGAGTGGTAAAAAGATTGGAATTTAGTCTCTGGTGAGAAAAACCCTCTTTTTAATACAATTATTCAGTATGACAGAAGACGTTTAGTTTTCACAGTAGAAAAAAAAATAGGTGTGATTCCATTTGAAATCTGTTTCTGTATTTTAACTTAATTATCTAAAGCTACAAGTGCCCATTCTCATAAGTTCTGTTGTGTAAGATGGTATCAATGACTTTAAGACTCTGTAAGTTTAGGATAATTAGACCACATACCTAAGCAAAACACTTGCCAGCAAGCATTCCTGAAATAATAAACTGTCTTAATAGACAGTTTAATAAATAGACAGTTTTAATAAACTGTCTCCTGTCTTGAAGATGAGGTTTAACATTGTGACATTACTGAAATCTTTATTAAATGGTTCTCTAAACCAATTAATCTTGGTGTGAGAATGGAAAAATGTTGTTTCAGACAACCACATTTACTGTGAATGAACCTTTGCAAATTGTACTACAAAGATAGGATCCATGGTACTTACTGGCTGTTAGCTATTGGCTTTTGAATATATCATGCCTGTATTGCCATATGCTCTGATTTTACACTTACTATGAAACTTTTGCTCATATAGTGTGCTGTGAGGATAGTTGGTGTGAAGGAGATCTTAACACAACTGAAGAATCACCAGGAAAAGCCTACTGGCAATATTTGATTAGATGGTCATTACTCAAGGCCCAGAATGTCATTCACTTTAGATTATCTTTTAAATTAAATGTTAAAAAAATTGTACACAATTCTTAGACTCCTTCTTTGCTTGACATATTTGTGACCTCCTGTTTAGGAAACTCTGCTTTAGAAAATATTTTCTGATCACTATATAGGAATCTAGGACTTAAAGATAAGAAAACAAATAATAACCAAAAAAAAACCTTGGTCATTCTATATATATTTTCCACCTGAAGACATGTTTATTAATTTAATTTATATTTATTTATTTATTTATTTATTGAGAGAGAGAGAGAGAGACAGAGAGAGAGAGACAGACACAGACATTGATTGGCAGCCTCCCAATGTACCCCAACTAGGATTCGAATCTGTAATCCAGGTATGTGCCCTGACTAGGAATTGAACCCGCAACATTTTGGTCCACGGGATGAAGCTTCAACTAATTAAGCCACCCAGCCAAAGCAACTTGGCTATTCTTAATGTAATGAGAGACACTTAAACAACAAACTATAAATAGTTTGATTTGAGCTATCCTAAAGGTATGCTAAGAGAGCTATGGGAACTTACTGAAAGAAGCTCCCAATTAGTTTTCTTAGGGTAGAGAAAGGGTTCAAAGTCTTGTTTGAACAGAGTCTTAAAGATTCAGAGGATGGGTCTAAACTGGCAGAGAGAGATTATGTGTAAAGACCACAGTCATGAAAGACATGATTATCATAATGGTGAGATGTGTGGCTTTAGATAGCATTTTTAATGTGAGTGGTAAGGTAAAACCCAAAAGTAATTTTTAATTGTTAGACCAAGTGTTGAACAGTTACTTCATGTATTCTAAGGGAGCTATGAAGATCTTAGAACTAGGAGAGTATTCATGGCAGAAGTTTTATGTATAGCAATTACCATATTATATTGCAATGTTCTCCTTCACTAGTCTTTGGAACTCTTCAAGGGCTATGACCATGAGTTATTAATCTTTGTGTACTAAGATTTTGGTAGAGTAACTGATAAAAAAGCTAATACTTAGAAAACCTTGGTTGAATGACTACTTATGGGTAAAGATGATTCAGGAGAGAATGATGACAATCTCCTATGATGGTGGTTTTAGTCTTTTATGGTGACAGACCTTTTGTAATTCTATAAAATTTCTTCTTGAAAAGGCAAATAAATATATGCAGATTTGGTCTACAGTTTTATGGGATTCATGTGCTCTGAAGCCAGTCCATAGATTCCTGGTTCAGAATACCTCCTTAGGAAATTACACTGAAGGAACTTATACCACCACCAAACCTCACCATGAGTAATTACTGTATCTTAACAGTCTTTAAATGTCAGATTATGATAGTGTCTTTTATACTTGAATTCTCTTTTTAGGAAGAGATCATTGAAATAGTTGAACTATCTATGAAGAAAAATAAAAAATTTTTGTAATGATTAAGGTAAAACTTTTTTGAGCTAGAAATAGAATAGACAAGTATGCTAATGAAGCCAGCAACCAAGAATCAGTTGCTTGAGAAGATCCTACATATATGTGCTTCTCAACTCTTCTAAGAGTAATAAAGAGTTTTGTTTTTTGAAAGTGCAAAGAAATTACTATAAGATCAGGACTGTATTATAGTGAATATGGAATAATTTCAAAATGTTAACCTTGAGAATTTTTTCTAATAAAATCTTGTTCTGTTTTTCTAGCATTACAGTGTTTCTGCCACCTTTGCACAAAAGACAATTTTACTTGTGTCACAGATGGACTCTGCTTTGTCTCTGTCACAGAGACCACAGACAAAATTATACACAATAGCATGTGTATAGCTGAGGCCGACCTAATTCCTCGAGACAGGCCATTTGTATGTGCACCATCTTCAAAAATGGGGTCTGTTACTACAACATACTGCTGCAATCAGGACCACTGCAATAAAATAGAACTTCCAACTGTTGGTAAGTTATTGCATAAGATGTGTGTGTTTTTTTCTTGATACTACAAAGGAAAACCTTAGACTCTGATTTTAGAACTGGAAGGGATCTTAGAGATTGTCTATCCCCAGGTTGTTCAATTTAGAGGCAAGAACAAATTTGTCCACAGTGGCAGGGTTATAAGAGTAGCCAAGATCCTGATTCCAGTGTGTGTGTTGTTTGAGAAGTTGATTCAGTGATACTTTCTGCTTACCATAGCGGTCAGTATGTCCTCAGAATGTCATACTTTGTCTTCAGAGTGAATTTCTTCTTCCTTGTTTAGGCTCTGTCCTTTTAAAGCAATCAATAATGGGTGGAAATTGAAAGCAGCATTAAACAGTCCAGATGCCTTCATTTTGTAATTTCACCTTGCCTTATGATCTTTATGTTTAAAATATTATATAGGCCATCTAAGCTTTAGGTCCTTCACTATAGTTTACATTTTAAAATGTCCTAGAAAAGCTAGGAATTCCAAGGATAAACTCTTAGGATTTTAGATTAAGGTTCTGGTTTAAAATAGCAATCTAAGCACATGTAATTCTGTCATCAAATTTCTACTGTAGAAATCAAAAGGAATATAAAAATAGGGAGACCTATATCAATGCTAGCAGAATTGATGGAAGAATGTTGCCCACATGCCTACACATGTGAAAAACCTGACAATTTAGAGTTAGAGAAGGGCAGCAGTCCCTCACCTGGTACATGTGATACATCAAAGCACAACTGAGTCTGCAGCATGACCAGGAAGCTCCCAGTGACCAGGCTCTGTCAGACTTAACTTTTTTGTCTCTTTTAAGCATCTGCAGTTCTAATATGACAATATGGTTAATTTCAAAATTCTCTATTTCCATTATTTGGACTTGAAATATTTTAATGGAAACTCACAAAACCTTCAGAAGGACTCACTTCATTTCTAATGCTAAAAAAAGTAGAAAGTCCTTATTCCCAGGTCTTGAAACTCAAACAACAACAAAAGTTACCAAATGAAAAACTTCAGTGGTATAAAAGAAGTGAACAGAACTGGATAAATCAGAGTAGATGTCACCCTTTGAAATAGAATTACCACATAATTGGGAAGAACTTTCAGACAGACCAAGGTCTATTTTTCAGTTGTTTACTGTAAAATGGGGATATTTCACAATTGATAATTGCTTTCAGATGAAAAGCTTGATTGATGAATTATTTCTTAAAATGCAGTATTGAAAATGAACAGCAGACTGGATACGATAATTTTATATTCAAGTGTGAGACAAGCTTAAGGCAAGATGAGCTTGAAAAACTGTTACAATTCAGAGAAAAAGACAGTTGGTGAGCAAATTAAGAGATACAGAGGACAGATCTAGGTGATCCAATATGCTTAGTATAAATATTCCAAAAAAAGACATAAGAGCAGACAGAAAAGAATACTATGCAAAATTAATGAAAAAAATACTTATCTAAATATATATAATAAAAGACATACCAATTTCAAGAATAAAGAAAAAATGCATAAGCATAAGTGAACACGGATTGACTATAAAAGGGAAAAATGTTCAGATTTTATACTTTTTTTTAAATACTAGAGGGCAGTGGAACATCATATAGTGAATGTTACTTAAAATGCTCTAGACAAGCCATTTTCACATATAAAGACAACAGATATCTTTAGATAATTAAGTACTCAGCACATAAGGACACACATGTACTCTTCCTGAAAGAAATTACTAGAATTAGAATTCTATGTTATAAGAAATTAATCCAAATAAGGGTATCAAGAATGGAGAAGATGTGCTATTAAAGAAATGTTGGTGTGCAGTAAACCAGCAAGGCTCAGGATGAATGCCAAAATAATTATAATTAACTAGAGGCATGGTGCACAAAATTTGTGCATGAGGTGGGGGTTTCCTCAACCCAGCCTGCACTCTCACAATCCGGAACCGCTAGCTCCTAACCACTAGCCTGTCTGCCTAATCACTCCTAACTACTTGCCTGCCTACCTGATCGCCCCTAACCACTTGCTTGCCTGCCTCATTGCCCCTAAACATTTACCTGCATGCCTACCTGATTGCCCCTAACCACTCGCCTGCCTGCCTCATCGCCCTGAACTGCCTCTGCCTCAGCCCCTGCCATCATGGCTTTGTCCAGAAGGATGTGTGGAAGGTCGTTCAGCTGTCTGGTCTAATTAACATATTATGCTTTTATTATTATAGATATTTTTCTGAAACAATGTAAAGCAATAATTATTAAAAGAGATGATAAGAAAATAAGTTCTTGAATTAAAAACTCAAGTGATTAAAATAGAGTAGGAAGTATATACATGCAAACTTTATTATAAAAAACAAAGAATGTATTTTCCCTGAACAAAATTTATGGATATATATACACATACACACACACACACACACACACACACACACATACCTACACTAAACGGAATTGTTTTGGAGTAGTGAGGCTGTATATAGGTTTATTTATTTATTTTAAACTTTTGCTCATGTGGTTCTTTTATTAGTGACCATGAGAGTAATAAATAGGGAGGTCCTAGAATACTGGTGGTAGCTGGCCTTGTTATTTATTTAGATGGCTGAAAAATGCAGGAAGAACAAGTAAATGTTGACTCAGTTGGTGATCATAAAAGTAGATCCAATGGGAGAAGGCTGAATGACTCACTTGTTCTGGTTTCCAGCCCTGAGAGCTGCTGTAATGAGGCTCTATGACTAATGGCCAACTACAGGAAATGTGGAGAATTAGGAAATTGTAGGTGCCACCTATCGTATTTTTTATGTTTATTTCACTTGCCCCTTTTCAGGAAAGCCATCACCTGGCCTTGGTCCCGTTGAACTGGCAGCTGTCATTGCTGGACCAGTCTGCTTTGTCTGCATCTCACTTATGTTGATGGTCTATATCTGCCATAACCGCACTGTCATTCACCATCGAGTGCCAAATGAAGAGGACCCTTCATTAGATCGCCCTTTTATTTCAGAGGGTACTACATTAAAAGATTTAATTTATGATATGACAACATCAGGATCTGGATCAGGTAATGTAATTGTTTTTCCTTTTTTTCCTAAGAAATCTAAAAATTAACTGCATTATTTAATTAGTTGGCTGAGCCACCTGACTTGGTTTGTTAAAACTTGGGATAGTGTGAATACTAGTCCAATTTTGAGCCTAGTAAAGGTCCTTACGCTTGCTCTATATCTGCCAATGGCTATTTTAGCCATTGGCAGATATATTACAGCTACTTTTAGTGAAATAAGTCAGCATATTAGCTTCACGTTTTATAAATTTCAAAGTATTCTCATGTTCTCAGGACTCCATGAGGTAGTAAGAATAAGAAGGGTTATTCTCATACAAGTCAGGCTCAGTTCAAAGATGTTCAAATGATATGCAGCTACCCATTCTATTAGGATTAACAGCTTTATTTTTGTCTTTGAACAGAAACAGGCATGACAGAAAATGTGTTTCGAATTGTGAAGGTTATTTACTTTTTTATGAATTTTTAGTCATTTTCTCACTTCAGAAAAAGTCTAACCACCTTGTTTATTTAATATAATAACTGAATGGATCCATGACCCCTGTGATGCTTGCTTTTCTCAGTAATGGTCATTTTTTTGTGGGATCAGAAATAGACTAAGAAACTCAGAATTGCCCTAACCGGTTTGTCTCAGTGGATGGAGTGCCAGCCTGCGGATTCGAAGGTCCCAGGTTCGATTCTGGTCAAGGGCATGTACCTTTGTTGCAGGCATATCCTAAGTAAGGAGTGTGCAGGAGGCAGCTGATTGATGTTTCTCATCAATGTCTTTAACTTTCTATCCCTCTCCCTTCCTTTCTGTAAAAAATCAATAAAAATATATTAAAAAAAAAAAAAAAAGAAATTGCCAGAATTATTCTCAGAAGTGGATTTTGACATAGTACTGTTCTATGTTTAAACCAAAGGGGATTTATTTTTTATTTCTTGCTTTGGAAGGATACTAAGAGAGGAAGTGTTTCCCAAACTTTGACATATGTGTACCCCTTCTATAATTTTTGTAACGCTGAGTACCCCTCGTACATAGAATTAAGCAGTGCAGTGCATATCCCCACCAAACTCCGGTGCAATGCGTACCCCCACCAAACTCTTCCCGTACCCCTGGGGGTACGCGTACCACACTTTGGGAAACACTGCTCTATAGTATTGTAATTTGATACTTAGGTAGGAATTAAGAGATCTAGACTCCAGTGCATGCTTTGTCACTGCTTGGCTCTCTGACTTTGGTCAAACCATATTTCCTCTTTGGGCTTCTATTTCTTCATCAGAAATATGGAACAGATATTTTTGGTAATATTACTTACAGTGTTTTGTTAGGACTTTAAATGAGATATACTATCGCCTTTGAAAGGTATAAATCAACTTCAAATAAGGGCTATATTTATGGATAAAATGAAGATTTGAAAATATATAATGAAAATTTTACTAATTTTATCACCAAGTGACTAAAGGAACGTTAAAGCAGAAGTTGTGACTAGGGGAAGAATATTACTTTGAAGCACAAAATCACATCTGCTAATAAAGTTCACATAAATGTCAAATGCCTATTTATTTTAAGGAAATTAACATATATTGATGTATATACATCAGGAAATATGCAAATATCTATGTTCATTTAGAAACTGATTTTATGACCTGAAATCTTCTTCAGTAGGATTTGGCTATATGTGTATATATTTAGTAAGTGAGTGCTGTTATGACTTCTAGGGCACATGTAGTTTGCACCGGAGCCCATATCTCTTAGGGCAGCCTTTAGGGACCCCTGAGAACATTGTGAGGAAGGAGGCAGTGAGAGATTGAATTGAGATGCAGTAACCTTAGTACTAAAGATGAGACAGTCTTTGGGCAGGTGTGGTAGAGGAATGGAGATTATTTTAGGGCTTCCCTGGGATTTCCCATTGATTCTGAGTTATCCAAAGAGTTCCTAAAGAAGATCTGGCTTATTCTAAAAGTTATTCTGGACCAAAACATAATAAGCAAGGACCAAAAGTCACAGGAAATCAGGGTGACTACAGATCATTTGGAATTAATCCCTTAGGCCTGTTCTCTTGTTGCCCGACTTACACCCAGGGAAATCAAAGCAGCTCATGCCACTTGGCATAGGCTCCAGGGGAACAAGCCTACCTAAACGAGCAAAAGAAATTGCTGTTTGGATTGCAGTTGGATTTTCCAATAAGAATACATTTAGCTCTAACTGGTTTGGCTCAGTGGATAGAGCATTGGTCTGCGGACTGAAAGGTCCCAGGTTCGATTCCGGTCAAGGGCATGTACCTTGGTTGCAGGCACATCCCCAGTAGGCAGTGTGCAGGAGGCAGCTGATCAATCTTTTTCTCTCAGCGATGTTTCTAACTCTTCCTCTTCCTTCCTCTCTGTAAAAAATCAATTAAAAATATATTTTTAAAATGCATTAATTTAACTTAAAGATATAGATATGAAGTAAAGAATTGAATTGTTATTTTCCCCCATTTTATCTATAGTTATAGATTCATCAGGGATTACAGCTCTGTGATCTCTGTGAAAGCTTCACTCTCTTCTTTTATGCCTTACCCTGCAAAAACTTGTTTACATTTTTTGCTAGTAGCTGTGGTTTGGGACGGTTAGCTAATGTCTCGTGTCTGAATTATTTCATCTTTAAAATGAAAGTAATTAGATTGTTGTGAGGTTCAAATGGGACAAAGATGTTTGTGTGAAAACATGGTAAATGGTAACGTATGTTCAAATTTTACCCTTACTGAAAATACATTGGGAGAAAAAATCTGACACACAGTATTTATTGCTGCATTGTACAAAAAAGCTTAGTTTAAGGCCTCCTTTCCCTGTCATAGTTCATTGGGTGCCTAATGGCCTACAGATTAATCCAGACAGAAGCTATTGTCTATTGAATGACAACAGGGAATGCCATCTCTTTCCCCTCTGTTCATTATAAAGCCATGTTGCCTGCTACCTCATGGATGGGACTCATGCTTGTGAGTAAATAAAATGTGTATACATAATGCTTCTTTTTGTTCTTTTACTCATTAAGGAAAAGGTAAAGCCAAACATTTCATATTATGAATTTACATGCCTATTACTCAGTACTGTGGCCATAATTGAGGAAAGGTCCTATCTCTCTCAGAGACTACTTTTAACTTGGGAACTGCAAGGAAGACAGTGGAGAGCTAACCTAATCCCTGTTGCATTAACTTGAATCTCAGGTTGTGCATGTGTCCATATTTAAGCTGTCATTGGATCGTAAAATATGTGTGAGCATGCATATGTGTGCCAGTGTTTGAGAGTGAGTATCATACCAGTGTTCCTTATATCTTGTTCATGCTTATGATCTGTTACAATGTATGCCTGTTATTTAGGTCTTATTTCTGTTCACTATTGAAGCATTTTCCCCATTGAAATTTACTCTTTTCAAGGTACAGAAAAATAAAGCAGAGAACATAGAGATCTAAATTAGACTTATATTTGTCTTTAGAAAAAAATTGTTACTTTTCGAAAATACTCAGGTATTCATGTGGGTTATGGTAACCAAATATAGATAATATGATGAATCTAGATGTGGTTTTTAATTTTAGGTCTGCATCTAGAATCTAAGGGTGATTGGATGACAAAAACTTTTCTTGTCCCATTAGCCTATCTTGTCCATCCCGTTTACATGGGTCCTGAATTGTCAGATATTTAGGTGAACTGGTATAGTCCGAATATAATGTTACTTAAATACTGTAGGTAGTTAGTAAACCTTTTCTATAAATGAAATACATGTGGCAATATTTCAAAAAATGTGTTTTAGAGTAAGGCAAGTTCAATTGGTGAAAAAAATTACCAAAGTAAATTGCTAGACACTTGTTTAAGTGCAGAGACAGCCAGTTCCTAGCAAGTAAATTGCTTATCTTGAAATGGTTTCTGTGATAATTTTTACTGATTTATTAAAAGTTGGGTTAGAATTTATTTTTGTGTAAAAATATGTATTCACATATTTTTCTCCTCCCACAATTAAAACTGTTATCAGATTCATCTTCCTAAAATCAGGTGTGTGTGTTTTTAATTATTTCTTTTAGAAATTTTTAATAATTATTAACCCACAGCTCTCATTGGTCATGTTGAGCTTGGCATCTCTAGTATTTGTCACATACTGGTGACAGTTTACCTTCTCTTTCACTGCTTTACTACATGCACCTCCTTTCTGTTTACCTAAGCCGGTTCCCTAAAAATGTATCATTCATTTCCTCTTTTACCTATGTTCGCATATTCCTCTTACCTCAATACCTTACCTCCTTCTCTTCTCCTTAGGTCTTATCTCTCTGCAAAGGTCAGTCTAAATTCAACTTACTTTATAAAGTTTACCTTGACCCTCTAGGCAGGAGTTTCTGAATTCTTTCATTGTATTTATTATTTATCTTTTATCATGAATTACTGTGTTTGCAAATGTGGTCTTTATTTCATTGAGATTGTAAGTTCCTTAAAAGTAGAGCTTAAAAGAGTTACAACCTTCCTATGGTGATGTTGGTTGTATTGACTACTAGTTATTTTTATCTTCAGGTTTACCATTGCTCGTTCAGAGAACAATTGCAAGAACTATTGTGTTACAAGAAAGCATTGGCAAAGGTCGGTTCGGAGAAGTTTGGAGAGGAAAGTGGAGAGGAGAAGAAGTTGCTGTGAAAATATTCTCTTCTAGAGAAGAACGTTCATGGTTCCGTGAGGCAGAGATTTATCAAACTGTAATGTTACGTCATGAAAACATCTTGGGATTTATAGCAGCAGACAATAAAGGTCAGTAACATTTACTTCTCCTTTGAGTGTAACAAAATCTACTTAATAAAGCCTTTTTACAGATATGGCTACTAAGCACTTTCAGATTTAATGACAAAAATAGATGTGTGTCATATACTAGTAGATTAGACCCATTTGGTCAAATGGAATATTTAGAAGTCTTATATTTAGAACCAAGAACTCCTTAAAGATTTCCTTGACTCTTGACAACCTGTTCCTAAATCTCTAATTGTTTTATAACAGCTTTTTTTTTTTAAAAGCCACCTGCTTTGTTATTTTGCTTCTGGACAGTTAGTTATTGAGTGAAATAATAATACAGATTGACCAGAACCAGAGTTATCTTTTTCCTTCTCTCCCTTCCCTTCTCTCCCAACACTATTGCTCCAAACTGTTAAAAGTGTTTAAACTCAGTTGGTAATTATGGATGATTTGATTTTTCATTTTGCTTCTCTGTATTTTCAAATTTAAATACAACAAGCATTTATTACTTGTTTATTTTTTAAACTTTTATTTAGAGAAAATTTCCAGTATATAAAAAAGAATAGTATAATGAACTTCCTCATCTTTAATAATTATTACTTCATTGATTTCTGATTTCACCTACACTGCCCCTTAACTAAATTATTTTAAGCCAGTTCCAGATAATATATCTTTTTACCCATAAACATTCTCATTTGTATCTTTAGGTTATAAAGCACTTTTAATGAAACATAATCATACTACGATTGCCACTTTAAAAAAATATCAAATATCTAGTCAATTTTAAATTTCTGCAACTGTCTCCTATTATTAATATTTTTAAATAAATGGCTATTCATTTTAGGATACACAGTCCACACATTGCATTTCGTTGGTTTTAATCTTAAGTCCCTTAAAATCTCTAGGTTCCTTCTCCATCTTTTGTTTTATTCTTCTTGCAGTTTATTTGTTGAAGAAAATAGATTGTTTGTCCTGTAGGGCTTATCACATTCTGGATTTTACTAATTGAATTCCTACACGGTCTCTGAACTTACTCCTTTTGTATTATTTGAAAACTGGTAATTAGAATTAGAGATTGAATCTGATTGCATTTTATTGGTTTCCTGAAAATATTTTCTGTATATCCTATATTTTCTGTTGTATCACATAGGAGACATATAATGTTTGATTATCTGTTTGTGTGTGTGTGTGTGTGTGTGTGTGTGTGTGTGTGGTTTAAGAGTCAATAATGGGCAGTGATTATCAGTGGCTACTCCCAGTTGAATGTTATTTAATTTAAAAACAAAACATAAATAAAAGCAGTCTGACCAAATCCTTAGTTTTCATTTTCTTCTGTCTCTAACATCATTTAGCTTCTCCCCCAATTTTTAATACAACCTTTATTATGGTCTATGATTCTAGACTTTAATAGTTGTCTTTGTTTTCTGGAACTTGTCTTACGGATTTTTATGAAGGATCTAAATTTACAAATAGTAACTACACCCTTAAAGAACTTGCCCACATTCATGGCTTCAAACTCTACTGTGGTGATGACTTTCAAATCTGCACTTTGGGGCTCAAACCTCACCCAAGCCCAGCATGTGTTAGGCATGTTCTAAGTCGCAAACTGGTACAAAATGCTCCTGCTGCTGTGTGCTGAGCTTTCTCTTTGCATTTGCTCAAGCAGCAGCTAAGCTGGTGCTGTCATCTGGTGGTCACCATGGGAACTAATGACCTTGCTGGCTCTTCCTTTGCCCCTCTACCCCAGTTCCCTTCTTTATCTTCATCTCCTGATTTAGTTAAATCTACCCAAACACCTTTTTATATATGCACAGCCTTTTATATACCTTTTTTCCTTCTGCCTTTCTTGTCGATTACCTCAGAAAAATCTGCCTGTGTTCCTATTTATTTCTTGAATTTCATAATTCAGTCATGGATAATAATAAGCAGGCAGATAAAGTAGTGATATATCTGTGTCAAGGAAGAGACAAGGTACAATTTGAACAGAATCAATTTATGAAGAATAAGTTTGTAAAGAACTAGTATCATGAGTCTCTGAATCCTTTTGAAAGTACTGAAAAATCCCCTCCAGATCTTCTGAAAATATCTTTCTTGATCTCTTCTAATCAGATCTTTCCATCAGATAGCAGCCTTCAAAATATATAAGTTGTTTTATGTCAATTTGGGTTTTGTTTTTTGTATTATAACCAATGAAGAAAGAAACAACACATTTTAAATTCTAATGTTCCATGCTATGGAACTAAGTGCTTTAATGTATAAAATGCATTTAAAAAATCGGTTATTCTATTTTTTAAAATTTCTTAATGGTCTTACAAAGTAAGGTATCCTTGTTGTGTAAAGGGAGATACTGTGGCTCACTGGTTAGGAAACTTGTTTGAGGTCACTAAGTCAATAACAGCCTCTGGATTTGAACTCAAGTCACAATGACTTCAGGTGTGCATCTTTTACTGAATTGTGCTGCCTCTTGATATTGTAATACTTTTTCTTACAATTCCTTTTTAAAAAATATATATTTTATTGATTTTTTACAGAGAGGAAGGGAGAGGGATAGGTTAGAAACTTCGATGAGAGAGAAAGATCAATCAGCTGCCTCCTGCACACCTCCTATCGAATGTGCCTGCAACTAAGGTGCATGCCCTTGACCAGAATTGAACCTGGGATCTTCAGTCCGCATGCTGATGCTCTACCCCCTAAGCCAAACCAGTTAGGGCTCACAATTTCATGAAATGTGGTTTTTCATATATTTCTAGCTACTTATAGGTTAAATAGGCTTTTGTGGTCCAGCCTATCCAAAACCTTTACCTTGATCCCCATGGGAAAACACATTGCAAATTCATGCATCAGTTTACAAGTGATCTTATGGCACATACATTCCTATTTCTTGACGTTTAAAATCACCTTGTATGTGTAAAACTGGGTTCAGTCCCAACTTTTTCTTCTCCTGACATTTCAGTTCTGTCTCAGCTTTTCCATTGTGTCAGTGATATACTTTTATGAAGCCTTATAGTCATAGTCATCTTGTGTGGCTTCTTTGTTAACTAACTATATTCAGAGCCTCTCATTGAAGCTTGCATTTCTTCATTTCACCTTACTTTGAGTTTTGTTCCATACTGCTCCATTCCATACTGTGGCCACACTAGGATCCTGATACTTCTTATTTTCCTGCTGCTTTCTTTCATTGTTTACCTCTTCCCAGAAACAATCATTGAGCACCTAACCTGAACCAGGCATTTTTCTAGGCACTAAAGAGTTCCCAACTCTACCACAGTCTGTGTAGACTCAAGATTACCATATTTGAACTGTGATTTCTTGTCTTTCTCTCTTTTTAAAAAATTTATGTTTATTGTTGAAAGCATTAGAAATTGTCTCCTTCCCCCCTCATTGGCCCCCTCCACCTCACTCACTCCCCTTCCTCAGCCCTTCACTGATTACTTGTCTCTTAAATGGGATTAGTCATCCAGCCTTATCTCAGGAAATGAGGCTTACTCTGAGGAACTAAAGGATACATATGTAAAAGTATAAGACAAAAAATACAGGAAAATATGAAAGAAATATTTACAAATGTAAGGTTCAATCATATTGTTGTGGGATTTGGGATAGAGAGTAAAGTGATAACTTTTGAACAAATAAATTGAAAATGTTCTATAGACTGTCTGAAATATTGTTATACTTTGCAGACAATGGTACATGGACTCAGCTCTGGTTGGTATCAGATTATCATGAGCATGGATCCCTTTTTGATTATTTGAACAGATACACAGTTACTGTGGAAGGAATGATAAAACTTGCTCTGTCCACAGCAAGTGGACTTGCCCATCTTCATATGGAGATTGTTGGTACTCAAGGTAACTTGAAGCAATCCTGTTTTTACTTTCATGGATCTAGTGTCTGTTTAGAACATTTTTGTAAGAAGTCAGGCTAATTGGAAATGTTATCTTTCTGTTGAAAATCTCACATGGAATCTGGGAATTTGTTTAGAGAGCCTATAGTCGTTGTAACAATACTGATATTTTTGTGTGTTCTTAAAAATAGCATTCAGTTTCCTACTTGTGATTTTTAAAGATATTGATTTTAAAATTCAAGTCTAAGAGATATTTTTTTTAATTTTTCATTATATTTTCACTTTCATTTTATCAAAAACATTAAATATTATGTTTTATTTATCAAATGAAAGTGAAAATGCTTTATAAATGTCAACATGCTATATAAATGTTATCTTGCCATCTAACAAAATTATATTTGACTTTGAGATAAGACTCCATGAGACCCTTTTACAGTTGAAAAATTAAATACTATGTTTTAGTTATGAAATGTTTATGCTATGATACTTGTGCCATGTAGGATATCAGACACCAATGAATCTCTATGGTCTAGTGATTATTGACTTGCTATCTGTTTCACTTGAGATTGTTAATGACCCAGGTAAAAATTGTGATTTGTATTACCTTTTAAGCAATTATGTTTATTTTCTTTAGGAAAACCAGCCATTGCTCACAGAGATTTGAAATCAAAAAATATCTTGGTAAAGAAGAATGGAACTTGTTGTATTGCAGACTTGGGACTGGCAGTAAGGCATGATTCAGCCACAGATACAATTGATATTGCTCCAAACCACAGAGTGGGGACAAAACGGTATACTTGCGAATAAATAGTATTTAATATGTTCTAAAAACAAAATTCTTTTCCTTCTCATTTGCATATATATATTTTTTCTGAAACTCGACCTTTATTAGATTGGCCATAGGTGGAAGATCTTATGGTTTTGTCTGCTCTGAAAGCAAGGTTACCTGACTTAAAATGAAGCCTGCTGATGAAAGATAGTCCTTCCAGAAAATATTTTCTGTTTTTAAAAATATATTTTATTGATTTTTTACAGAGAGGAAGAGAGAGGGATAGAGAGTTAGAAACATCGACGAGAGAGAATCATCGATCAGCTGCCTCTTGCACACCCCCTACTGGGGATGTGCCCGCAACTAGGTACATGCCCTTGCCCGGAATCGAACCCGGGACCTTTCAGTCCGCAGGCCGACGCTCTATCCACTGAGCCAAACTGGTCCCGGCTAGAAAATATTTTCATTAGTTATGTTAATTATAATAGCAGTAGGAGCTAATGTTTATAGGGTACCTACTGTGTGCCAATCATTTTAATGAAATTTTTTATACATTATCTCATTTGATGCCCTCCTCAAATGCTGTACTATAGCTATTCCAACTATTTTCAGTTCCTGAAAATATGCCTGCCTTTCTTCCTTAGAACTTTTGCATGTGCTGTACCTAGAACCCATCTCCCCCTATTGTTTCCATAACTTGTGCTCACCCTTTCTTTTTCATAGGAATCCTTTTCTGGACTGTTAGGTGTTCTTGCCAACAGCTCTCATAGCATGCTGAAATTGGACCATTAAGGCACTTAACACATAATGGTGTAATTATTTATTTATCTGTATATTCCATTGGGTTGTAGGCCAGTTGGAAGTAGTCTGTATTCCCAGCATCCATCACAGTGCCTAATACATAGTAGATGCTCAGTAAATATTTCTTGAATCCACAAGTTCTCAAAATAATCTAACTAGGTAGTTGTCATTATTCTCAAGTCACAGATGAGGAATACACCTCAGAGAGGTTATGTAATTGGCCAACCTCTTAAGATGGATGGTAAGCTGCAGAGCTGAGATTTGAACCTGTGAACACAAACTTGCTCTGTATTACAACATATCTTCAAACTGCCGTCTTGGCCTTGAAGTGAGCCAAGCTTTATTCTATCTAAGTTGTATTTATGACTTCTGGATTCAACAGGGACTCAGAATTCTAAACTCTGGTTACAGTACAGTGGTTGCCGCAGGTCTTTGTAGGTCTTGATCTGTAACCTTAGTAGGGCATTTGAAACCTCAGAACTTCACAATGTGGCATCGATAGGAAAATTAGCATTCATTTTCATTTTATTTATTTTTTTTTTTTAAATATATTTTATTGATTTTGTACAGAGAGGAAGGGAGAGAGATAGAGAATTAGAAACATCGATGAGAGAGAGTCATCGATCAGCTGCCTCTTGCACACCCCCCACCGGGGATATGCTCGCAACCAAGGTACATGCCCTTGACCGGAATTGAACCCGGGACCTTTCAGTCCCTAAGCCGACGCTCTATCCATTGAGCCAAACCGGTTTCGGCTCATTTTCATTTTAACCTACTATTTTCTCTCCTGGGATATGTCCCTGCCCTGTTGTCCATCCAATTTTAATGAGGAGGCTTCTAGATTAAAATATGTAATTCTTGAAGAGTACATGACTAGAGTAGGTGGTGTGCATTAGGAAATTTGTTAACAGTCACCGTTATTTCTTGTGGCTTTCATTGAAAACTAAGATAGCAATTAGTATTTAATTGACATCATTAATTTGAAAACCAGTATGGTTATATAATACTTTTCTTAAATTTAATATGATCTAAGTTATATAATATTGTATTTGTATGAATAAGAAATGTCTGGGGGGGAAAAATACAGAGACAAACGGCAAGGGAGAACACATGTAAGGAGACAGGCCTCAGGAGAAACCAACTTCCTGATACTATCTTGATGTTATACTTCCAGCCTCCGGAACTGTAAAGAATACATGTCTGTTATGGAATCTACCCAGCCAGTAGCATTTTGTTATGGTAGTGGTAGCAAACTACTACATCTGACATTCATAGTACTAAGTTTGTAATTTTCCTGAGTTTTTGGCGGCATATAACTTCTCTCTGCTGCACTGAAAATATGAGACATCTTAACGACTTGATGGTCTTTCTCTTGCCCTAACTTGCTTTTACATTTATAATCTGATACCAAAGCTAAGTGCTTTCTACTCTCATTTTCTTCTTAATCTGATGTGCTTCAGTTAGGTGCATTTTTCATTTTTTAGACATTTAGAGTACATTTGCTAAAGCTGAAATGAGAATCTCAATAAATGAATAAATAATGATTTAGTGACAAAAAAAATGTCTGAAAGCATATTCATCAAATGTTAACACTTTGTGGTAGTAATGAAATGATTTTTCACTTTGTACTTTATGTACTTTGGGAAAATATCTATAAGAATAGTCATTAAAAAAATCAGCAGAACCATAAAATTTTCTTTTAATTCTCAGGGGTAAAAGAAAAAGTTCAAAAATAATATGGCCACCATTCAATAAAATAAAGTACTGAATTCTTTTTTAGGTACATGGCCCCTGAAGTTCTAGATGATTCCATAAATATGAAACACTTTGAATCCTTCAAGCGTGCTGACATCTATGCAATGGGCTTAGTATTCTGGGAAATAGCTCGAAGATGTTCTATTGGTGGTAAATTTCTTCCCCTTTCCTCAACAGTTTGTCATGAACAGAAGTTGTTTAAGAATTGCTTTCTCTTTTATTGAATGAAATTAAACACATCAACGGTCTGAAATTATGTTCACCAGGTGACCAGGAGAGTGCCAAGAAAATAATGGAGCCAAAACCTGTAATGAGAGGAAAACAACATGACATGCTTTACCTAATGCACAGCTTTATCCTAATGTATTCTTTTTCTGTTTCCTCTTGAATCTTGGAAAGCATCAAAATTTAACCTTTTATTATCTTGAAATAGAGTTACATTGACTGGATGACTGCTTTGGTGGCCACCCAGGAAACTGTCTAGCATGCACCTGAGTCTAAATGATTTTTTCCCCCCTGAGATTATTTTTTCCAACTTGGAAATTTTTCAACAGAGTACAATACAATTACACCACCATTACATTACTTTCTAAAGTAAGTTTGCTTTAACTTTTTTTTTTTTTTTTTTTTTATCCTCAGGGAGTGAGGATATTTTTTCATTTGTGTGTGTGTGTGTGTGTGTGTGTGTGTGTGTGTGTGTGTTTTTCAAGAGGGAGCAGAAGGGAAGAGAGAGAGAGAGACACACACACAGACACAGACAGAAACATTGATTCGTTGCCTTCCTTATTCGCTGACACGGTCGGGGATCAAACCTGCAACCCAGGTACATCCCCTTGATCGGAAATTGAACCTGAAACCCTTTGGTATGTGGGCTGATGCTCTAGCCACTGAGCCATGCTGACCAGGTTTGTTTTAACTTTTAAATTTAGTTTTAGATTGAGTACTTTTTATATTTCCTTGAGAAAAGCTCTTATCTGGGAGCCCACACTTGGCTGAGTCTAGGGTCTTAGGTTTTTGAGGCAGTGAGAGGCAGAGTATGTCTCTGCATTGTAACAGAGAGAACAGGTTATTGACAGATGCAAGTAGAGGATAGGATTTGTACCTTAAGCTTGTCTTGTAGGATTCACATCTCAGTGATAGAGGATATATTCCCATACCAAGTGAGAGGCTGTGCACTCATAGAAGGAAAATCCATTAAAACTCTTATGAGTTCTAGAGGAAACTGTCAATCTAGACCCCATAGCTCATAATTCATCATCATTCAAATAGCCTTTATGATCCCACAGTAATATTTAATTTCCAGGTGTGAGCCCAATCAAGTTAGGGAGGTGGGTTGTTGATATAGATAGGGATGAGACAGCAAGCTGTGAACCCTGTTCACTCACCTAGTTTAGTAATGGGACACTGTAGTAGCATGCTCAGCACCTCCTTTGTGTCTGGTCAAATAAAATCAATTTTTTCTTTTTCTTTTTTTAAATCAATATAGGAATTCATGAAGATTACCAGCTGCCTTATTATGATCTTGTACCTTCTGATCCATCAGTTGAAGAAATGAGAAAAGTTGTTTGTGAACAGAAGTTGAGGCCAAATATTCCAAACAGATGGCAGAGCTGTGAAGTGAGTATTTCTTTTAGATACTATGCAGTTCTCTAAACTACTTCTGCTTAGTAACTGCAAATTTGCTACTTTCCTTTAAGGAAAACACAAATTCTCTTTCTTTTTCATAGCAATTAAACTGAGTAAAGAGAATAATTTGTTTTTCGTGTTAATTTTTAAGCACATTGAAAGGGCCATAATGTATTTGCACCGGCCATGAGAACAGTGTTTATTCGGATCTGCCAGTAACCAGAGCACCTGCATTTTAAATGAATACTTTCCTTCAATCTGGGCAGTCCCAAACAGTGAGATTGTGCTGACAGGAATCAGGAAACCAGTATTTAGGTCAAACCTGGATACCATTTCAGAGTGATGCTGGGCAAATGAACTTTAGCATGACTTTTCGTAAAATGGAGAACTTGGATAAGATGATTATAAAGATGGTTTTATATCTTATTCATTTCATTGCCCGTATGATCACTCACCAGAAATTTGGGGGAAATGCTTTCCCCACAGTGTGTGAGCTTTCCAACCCTAGCTCTGACAAAAAGTTTTAGAAATCTTTTTTGTAGTTGTAAATTTAAAGAACTTACAAATTATGTCGCAACCCACAGATTGAGAACTGCTAGCAGGGTCGCCTAAGACCATCGGAAAACACAGATATTTACATTATGATCCATAATAGTAGCAAAATTACAGTTATGAAGTACAACGAAAATAATTTTGTGGTTGGGGGTCACAACAACATGAGGAACTGTATTAAAGGGTAGCGGCATTAGAAAGGTTGAGAACCACTGCTCTAGAATATAAGGTTTATGAAGGCAGGGGTTTTGTGTTTGTCCACTGTCGTATCCCCAGTACCTGGGATGGAATCTGGTACGTGGTAGGCATTTGTTAAATGAATATATGTCTGTGATGGGCACTTGGTCCTTTTTAATCTGAAAACAAATGTTCGTTTCTAGGAAATGTTTCTGAAATATTTTATTTGATTTTCTCTTTTCATTTTCCTCTCGTTTCTTTTTTCAACTCTGATTATGAATGTTAGACCTCAGAAACAAAAACCTATCAATGATAAATCCAATACCATAAATTTTTTTTTTTTACCTCTTTGAGGATGTTAGTAATAGATTATTGATTTTTTTCCCTCTGTATACAGCTTCCGTTTTTTCCACGCTGCTTTTTTTCTGTTTGTGTCAGCTTCTGCATTTCATAGACTTTTCTCAGATGTTTGATGAGACTCGTATTCTGTTTGAGGACAAGGCGCTGAATGCTTATAGGAAGCTCTGTGCACGTGGATGGAGCTTTCTGACTGAAATCCTGAAGCGCTCTGACAGGGGCCACTGATGTCGTCCCTTCCGGTCTCTCCCTTTGGGCTGCTCACATGCTCCGGGGAAGACTCTTAAGGCTCTTCCCTGGAGTAGAATGTACATGTTGCTGACTGTGTTTTGGGGAGAAAGTCTGTGGTTTTAGCATTTAGTATATTGTCAGTATGGAACTTTCTCGTCTATGTTCCCCCGATCATAAATTGCTATTTCACTCTCTCAGATACAAACCTCTAGCCCAGTGGTCGGCAAACTGCAGCTTAAGAGCCACATGCAGCTCTTTGGCCCCTTGAGTGTGGCTCTTCCACAAAATAGCACGTGTGGGTGCACACATACAGTGCAACTAAAACTTCGTGGCCCATGCGCAGAAGTCGGTTTTCGGCTCTCAACAGAAATTTCCATTGTTGTACTGTTGATATTTGGCTCTGTTGACTAATGAGTTTGCTGACCACGGCTGTAGTCTATTACTGGGGGAGGGGCAGTTATCTGGGGTTCCAGCTCTTCTGGCTAATGCTCCTATTTTTCGCCTGAATTTCATTCTAAATTAGTGTGAGTCACGTTCTTTCTTTGCCTTATGTTGCTCTGGTTTAGGATTCAGCTTTTTCAGGTGTGCAGAGTGAGTCGCTCTGTGTCTCCTTTCCAGCTGCTGGCATCAGTACCTCATTGATGGAAATTTAGGTTATTTCTATTCACACAGTATTACAAATGCTCAAACAAAACACTTGTACATTTAGAAACGTCATTTAGAAAAGAAAACTCACAGATAAATTATATCCTTATCTAGATTGATGGAAAGGGTTGCATGCATTAATTCTTTTTCTTCTATTTTTCTTGTAGGCCTTGAGAGTAATGGCTAAAATTATGAGAGAATGTTGGTATGCCAATGGAGCAGCGAGGCTTACAGCTTTGCGGATTAAGAAAACTTTGTCACAACTCAGTCAACAGGAAGGCATCAAAATGTAATTCTGCGGCTTTGCTGAACTCTCCTTTTCTTCAGATCTGCTCCTGGGCTCTAATTTGGGAGGTCACTTGTTCTACCTCACTGAGAGGAACAGAAGGATATTGCTCCTTTTGCAACAGTGTCATAGGTCAATTTAAAGCTTCCCAGGGTTTCTTTGGGCCCAGGAATCAGCCATGTGGGCCCTCTCTGTGCACTATGAACTCTTCTTTCCCAGGACAGTTACAAAGTGTTGCATAGTCTACCTTTATTTTTTATTAATACAAAACTCTTTGTTTTTTAAAGCTAAAATTTCTGGTCTTAACGTTAGGCAACTCTGCTGTGCTGAAGATCATCTTTAAGGGTAAAGGAGCTGGATAGTTGAGTCATACGGAAGCATTTCTTTTTTTTTAAAGAAATTTCCTCCTGGTTAGTACATTCTCAGAGGATTCTGAACCACTAAAGAGTTTCCTTGATTCAGACGCTGAATGTACTGTTCTGTAAATTTCAGGATCTTAAAACTAACACTTAAAAAACTCTTAGCTTGAGTCTAAAAATGACCTCATATAATAGTGAAGAACATAATTTATGCAATTTTATTTTGTAATAATTATTGTTCTTTCACATATTCAGAATATTACATGCCTTCAAATGGGATTGTACTATACCAGTAAGTGCCACTTCTGTGTCTTTGTAATGGAAATGAATAGAATTGCTTAAAGTCTGCTTGTATGTTAAAACCTGTAGTGTTTCAATTCAGATAGTTTATCGGGGTAAACCAGACATTTTAGTTTTTGCTTTTTTTTCTTTTTTTAAGAGTTTTTGTGATGTCATTTAGTATTCCAATTTAAAAATGCCTTTCTACCAGAATGTGCTTAAACCACTAAAGAAATGAAGTGGCATTAATTGGTAAATTGTTATCATGGTCATGTTGAATAGTCTCTCATCAGGGTTTTGCATTTTAGTTGTGTCGTCTAAGTATACTTTAAAAAATATCAAGTGGCACTCTAGATGCTTATAGTACTTTAATTTAAAATTGGTAGCATACAGGCTAATTTTTTTAAAACGGAAAATTTGTCTAGCTGCTTGTGGAAAGTTGTGTGGCATTTTGTAAGCCATTTTGTTCTGTATTTGATCAAAGACAGTGTTATTTTTTAAGATGAATTATGTTTAAAGTTAGAATATGGTTAATGTTAAATGATAGGCCTTTTTCTAGGAAGATAAAGGTAGTTAATAATTTGAGTAGATAACAGATGTGCAAGAGTCACATTTGTTATGTAGGAGTCACTGGTGGATTTTTCTGTCTGCAGCTGAGGTTAGAGTTAGTGTGATTTTGAGATCTCACTACATTTTGAGGAAGGCAGCTTTTAATTTAGTCTTTCCTTCTGTTTGCAGATATTTTAACTGCTGATTTACATGGTTTTATAGTAAATTCAGCATACTCGTGGTATTTGGGAGAGAGGTAGCTAAAGCATATTCTGAGTAAAGGTTTTCCATTTACAGGTGTTTTTGGTTAAATTGAATGTTTAAAATAAACTGGTCATGGTCTTCTCACATTAAGTTGAAAAAGCTTATAACAACTGGTTTTACTTCCAGTGCTAGAAGTCTTTGCAGAGCTTTTACAATTTTTAAAGTTTTCTTTATCACTGTGATCTTATTCTGAGGGGGCAAAACTATCTTAGCTGTGAAGAAAGACACTGACTTTACAGTGCTGTCGATTCCCAGTGAAAGGGTTAGAATAACCTTTACAGTATTCAGGTCAGTAAGAGATGGTGGCCATTCACGGTCAGTAAGAGATAGTGGCCATTGACTCTGACTGAACTGCGTTCTGATAATGTCTTAAGACTATTTGGTCTTAAAACCAAAGTAATTTTAGAAAGAATGACATTACACAGGAACTTAGTGTCAATTTCATGTGTTTAAAAATGTCAGAAGAAATGTGCTTAGAGGTTAATATTTTGACTTCAAATTTGAGTTATTTTTGTAGTTTCTGTAATTTCATCAAAGCAAATATGTGACAGGTTTGTTTTTATAATTGTGTTACATAATTTGTTTAATAATCCCTAGCTCTGTGACTAGGCACTCTTTTTTTCCCTGCCATTTCTAAATCTACCCAGATCTGCTTTATGAAATCCAGGGGACCAATGTATTTTATCACTAAAACTATTTTTATATAATTTTAAGAACCTACCAAAAGTTCTTATCTGATTTAAAGTTGTGATATATAATTACTCACTTTCATACAAGGTAATCAATTTTAAAAAATATATATTTTATTGATTTTTTTACAGAGAGGAAGGGAGAGAGATAGAGAGCTAGAAACGATGAGAGAGAAACATCGACCAGCTGCCTCTTACACACCCCCTACTGGGGATGTGCCCACAACCAACCTACATGCCCTTGACTGGAATTGAACCTGGGACCTTTCAGTCCGCAGACCGATGCTCTACCACTGAGCCAAACCGGTTTCGGCATGGGAATCAATTTTTTGCTGATGATATTGTTTATTAAATCAAAGATTGAGTTACAATTATACTTAAGTTGATAAAATGTATTTTTCATGAGTCAGGGAATTTTTTTTTTAAGTTGAAATTTAGTTATAAATTTGATGTACGTATTACTGCAGTTAGTTTCTTGTTTGGCTAATGACAGTTTGATAAACCTCAATTGGCTAATATTGAAAATGAAATTAATTTAAAAAATGAAACAGATCAACTGTAGTTAAGTTTGACTAGAGTATTAATCTTGTCATTTAAAAACTTAAGCCTTTATTTATACTGCCTGTATTCAGATGCTCACCTTTTAAGTTTCAACGTGGCTAATATATACCTTCAGGCTAATTATCTGTCCACATCCATTTTGTCAATACCCTGTAGGAATGAGAACGGGAGGTATGGCCTCCTGGGGCACAGATGTGCATGGTCCTCCTTCCTTTTATAACTTCAGCTCTGTTTCTTTCAACCTGCCTTCCCGCTGATCCCTAACTCAGAGACCATAATCTTGCCAACCTTCCTCTCCCCTTTCCCAGCAGCCTTTCAACTAAATAGCTGATTTTGATATCTATCATAATATCTAAAATGGTTGATGGAAGTTGTGGGACATACTTTCATTTTTCATTTCCTTGAATATTAGATGTTACTGAGAAGGGTCTCCAAGTTTGGAGATCAGGCAGATGATGGTCCTGCTGGCTGCCCTACTTTGACTTCAGCCTTGGCCAAGGAGTGGCAGCTATGGCAGTGGGAGATATGCCGGAAGCCATGGCCAGTTGTATCCCCTATAGGACAGGGTGAAGCCCAAAGAGCTGAGTCTATAATTTTGCTGTAATAATAGTGCTCAGGAAGTGCCTTGAGTTGGTGTAGAGTGCCATGCCATCAAGAATTCCAAATTTCAGTTCTTACTATAAAATATAACTGGTCACTGGGCCGCTTTGTGGCTTATGTGTGAGTTACCTTTTATTTCTCTCTACTTCTGAGAACTGTCACAGAGAATTTTGTAAAACATGATGGCAAAGTGCTAATTAAAATGCACAACAGAATCAGTATCCCATTAGACATGTCACATCAAGAGTTAATTTTTATCCTCACACTGAAAGAACGATTGTAAGTCACCTTTTTGTTTGTTTGTTTGTTTCTTGATTGTGGCAGTGCTTTGGCTCCAGATAATAGAGATTCCAAATTATGATTCTGTTACAAGTTGGCAAAAAATGTCCGTTCACATATTTTTGAGATCTTAGGAATAGCTCCAGAAATGTGGTACAGCTTCTTATGTCTGTTTGGAAGACTGGGTTAGCCAAGGGCCCTCTGTCTAAGAATGCTGGACTTCTAGAACATTCTGAGGATTGTCAGTACACTCAAAAGTTTTCAATCCCATCATGCAACCTTATTTTTAATTGTAAACTTTAAAATTGTGGTTAATAACATTCAACCTGTTTCTTAAAGCTTAGAAAGAACTTCATTGAATTTATTTTTATTTTTTTAACTAGATTTGTGAATGAATATGATGAACTGTGTTTTGATATCCCTTTTTCACATTGTGCCAATGGAGTGGGGTATTTGCTATTTCTTTATATGTCAAGGAGATGCTTCAAAATGTCAATTGCTTTAAACTTAAATTACCTCTCAAGAGACCAAGGTACATTTACCTCATTGTATATATATGTTTAAATATTTGTCAGAGCATTCTCCAGGTTTGCAGTTTTATTTCTATAAAGTGTGAGTATTATGTTGTTACATTACTCAAATGGTACTGTATTGTTTATATTTGTACCCCAAATAACATCACCTTACTTTCTGTTTCCTGTATTTTATTGTATTTGTGCAAAATCCTTTTGGCTTTTATCATGTAATCTCTGCCCTTTCAGATATGTACAGAAAATGTCCATATGAATTTTCCTTTAATTTGAATGATTTTGAGAAACCTGTAAAGAGGAGAGAAAAACAAAAACTGCATTTCCTCATAAGTTTTTAAAGTATGTATATTGTATTTGTAGTAATATTTTGAATGAATTGTAAATAGGAAGTAGAAGAGTGATACTTAATGTCAAGTCCTAACACTACAGTAGAACAATGGAAGCAATGCAAATAAATTACTTTTCCCCCAAGTGCCAGTGGCATCACCCATATATATATATATATATATATATGTATGTATACACACACACACACACACACACACACACACACACACACACTCACACACATAAAAGCCTAATGTGCAAACTGTCTCCATGGGAGTTCAACCAAGAGACCAATCGCTCACTATGACATGCACTAACCCATCAGGGGGTGGCACAGGATGAAGAAAGGCCCCAGCCAGCAGCCAGCAGCTGGGGTAAGGAGGCCCCAATCAGCCCTGATCACTGGCCAGGCCTAGGGACCCTACCCATGCATGAATTTTGTGCACCGAGCTTCTAGGTTAAAATGAAATGTGTCTGTCCTAGTGAGCCATGCTGTTATGAAATGTAGTTGCTAAAGTTAGAGACTAGAATCTTTGGATACCTACCCAGGACAAATTACAATATCGAAACATGTTGGATAAGTGCTTGCCTGTCCAGGGAGCATCTCTGCTGGCTTCTTCCCATCTGCTGGGGGCTGTTGAACTGCCAGTGGTCAGGATGGGACCTGTCTGCAGGGAACTGTTTTGCTTCTGACGCAGCAAGTTTGCTAAGTTTGTGTTAGAGCGGTATTATTATTTTGATTCTTAAAAAACTGCTGGAGGAGGTGTGCTTGACCCCCTGACTGGCGGGGACAGAGGGTTGCAGTTTAGATTGCCCTAGAAGCAGAGACTAGTCACTTCAACTCAAAGACTGGACTTAAGGTTTTTTTATTTCTTCAAAATAAGACACACTTCTTTTCATAGGAAAAGCTGACATTTTCTTTAAAACATCATAGATTCAGAAAAACAGCTTGATTAGCTTTATATATGTGTCTTCTGCCTCTGGTGTTTCCTGATTTGGAAAAGTGTTTTTCCATATATGGCCTGCTAGACATATCTGGCAACTGCACGTTTTTTGGCTTTCTAATCAAGGATTTACAAAATGGGGCTATTCTGAGAAATGAGTAGAAAAATTTGATGTAACAAAGGCTGGGGCCCTTGTCTTCTAGGGTCCCAGGCATGTCTGAGGTGCCCTGTCAAGGAGTCTATGTAGCTCTCTTAAGCCATGTCATATTGTACACATGCTTCCCTTTGAGCCCTTATGCAAATTCTGTATCCTTGAATGGTTCTGAGGCCTGCCTCTGCAGCTGGAAATGAAGACTCCAAGAGCAGGGACCACCTGTCACTCATTTCTGGGAACCTCTTGCCTAGCCCAGGGTTTGGATAGAGCAGGCCCAAGGAGAGTTTGAACGAAGGTAATCCTGCTAAAGGAACCCTAAATGAGCATGAATGGGGCTGAGTGCAGCTGTGGACTGGATGTTCACTTTAAAGGAGCAAGTCTTTCACACTGGGGCTCTCCAGGTGGAGGACCTGGCTTCCCTCTTTCTTTTTTTGGTTAATCCTCTCCCGAGGATATTTTTCCATTGGTTTTTAGAGAGAGTGAAAAGGAAGGGGAGAGACAGAAAAAAACATTGCTGTGAGAAAGACACATCCATTGGTGGCCTCACACACACACCCCAACCAGGCCCGGGGATCTGGCCTGTGATTGAGGTATGTGCGCTT